CTAATGCCCTTAATACTAAAATAATAACTTACAAGGTACTTATAATCAACCAACAAGTAGTATCGGGCAAATAACTGTGTATGTGATTTTACACTCAGATTTCATTCATTTGATTCTTAATGTTTTTAATTAATTAAGTTGAGGGTGAGTCAGGAATGACTTTTTAAAAACTAAACACACAATGGCAAAACATGAACTTGATGCTTTATAAATACTCTACAAAATCCGGACTCATGAATGATAAGTAGAAGGTGGCGAAAAAACAAATACATAAGGCACCTACCATCATAAAAATGTATGCACTTACCTTGCATGTGGGAAAGCACTGAAATTACTCAAAAGAGAAGCTTAAGGAAGAAGAAGAAGAAAAAAAGAAAGGGGCTTAACAGAGACACTTAAAGAGTTAAGAGCTAGTGACAGCTAACACCCAATCATATAAGGCTGGGAGGAGCCTGTGCAATTGTAAAGTTAATTCACTAAAGTAATTCAATTTACAAAATTAATATTTTATACTTAGGGCACATTCCTGCAGTGAAAGGTACAACATGCCAATGGTTGTAATTTTGTGTGGAATTTGTAAATGTCAAATTATAAACAAAGGACAGTCATCTTAATAAGACACGTCTTCTCAGACAGAAGACCTCCAAAGAAGCTTGAAAATTGGACCCAAAGATCTGTATCCGTTCTTAGGTACGTCAATTCATGTGTGAAAACAGCTTCCTAATTCTGACAATTTTTGGTGCTTACTGAATTTTATTTTCACAAAAGAAACACAAACATATTTTGACAGTGAATAAATCTGCTCATGGCCTATGACACTCTGTATTGCAAAATTGATAGGTAAATTAAAAAATACTTTCTTAAAAATTCTCCTCACAATTATAAAAAGTAAAGCCTTAAAATGCTGAGCTGTAAAAAGCTCAAGTCAACAACTTCTGACATTGCCAGTTCTGCTGATAACCCACTATTATTATGGACTATTGGACTATATTGGGTTATTTTGCTGAATTCAAGTACCTACAATATTTGAATGTCAATGGAACATCCATCTCTGACAAAACAAAACATAAAAA